CATCTATCTATCAATCATCTATCTATCATCTATCTATCTATCTATCTATCTATCTATCTATCTATCTATCTATCTATCTATCTATGTATTGGCATCTCGTAGGATACTGCATATAATAATTGGTTGCTCTCAATGACATGAGGCATTGTATAGAAGCCAGTTGTATAGAACCCAGTATATCACGATATCAGTCCCAGGGGTCAGGAAATAGAGAAGCAAACCATTGGGCTCAATTCAGGAATTACAGGCCCCTGGGGAAGGATGTTTACTGGAAAATTGGGAAGAATCTTCATCAGACATTTTAAAGCAAGGATCTGGGGACTTGTCACTGTTTTAAACTAAACGAGAGGCCAGATAAGGTATTAAACTCTTATAGCAGAATGTGGCAGTGTTCTGTGTGTTTGTGACAAATGTCACTGTGTTCCCTCATTGTCTTGTTCAGCATTCCAGTTGGAAGTTGACCAGATTCTCTGGCATGAAGACTTCATAATAAACATTGTTGAATTTCTGACCATGTCATTCTACTTTTTGAGACAATATCTTGAGGGAAGGGGTCATTTCTATCATTTCTGTGTATTTTGCCCTTCTGTGTCAGATGCTTTTTTGGACACTGGCACATGGAGTGTTGCAGAACATAAATAGGAATGTGCAACAATTATTATCACCTTTTTTTTTTCCTGCCAGGCAGAAACAACGACTGAGACAGCCAGGACCTTCCTCCATTGGAGTTTATATTTAAGCAGGAGGGAGACAGGCAGATTACAAGTTTCAGGCATCCGTCTAGACTACACAGAAATGTTTCTGGGAAATTACTTTAGAATGACTACAAACACCATCTCAAACAAAATACCCAGCTATAAAGAGATCTGAATGATGGAAGACACCAGACCTGGGCAGGCGTGGAAGTGGCATTTCTGAAAGAGGAAAAGGAAACACTAGTAAAAGGCCCCAAAGTAGACTCATCAAGTTTCACACATTACATATGTGTGATATGTTGCATGGCTCATGTGTATGTACATATGTGCGGACACCTACATGTATATAT